CCAACATAACTCTGTCAAAATATTATACAGACATATTGCGCCATTAAATGAATTGGAATTAACAAACACTAGAATAGTATGACGGACGATAAAGATGACGGATAGCACCATAAGCAAAATAGCTAAAGCATGTTATGTGAATGTAATATAATGGTACGTCTGAAATCTCGTACAGAATTAACAATAGGTGACTGAGTAACAGCGGTATCAAATTTGAATCACGTTACCTTATTAAATTCTACTTTCGCATAGTAAATAGTGGAAATTCTAAAGCATTCTACATAGATTAACATATGTGTTACCAGCCCCATACTCATCTATCTAATCCCAAATTTACTTTGCCTGTCTGACAATTAAAATCACATCCAAAGCTATATATTTCTTCGGTCTACTTAGAATAAAGTGTAATCACACCACTTGATGTGAAATCTACAATGTTATACGAACACGAGTACTCATTTTCTAAAGTTCTAGATTTAGCCACACATTATCAAATTATTTTATAACAACAGAAGTGACCTATGAAAACATTGACTGTCGAACGAACTCACCGTTACGCCTGTCATATCTTTATAACCACATGTTAGATGAGTAAATACTCGAAATATCATACACAAAATGTTTGATTATCATGAAAATCTCCGTGTAATCTGATTGCTATCATGAATACTATATGAGAGCATCCTTAGACGTTCCAGCTGTATCAATATTGGAATAACCCATTGTTTCAAATTTGTTCAAACTAAATTGTGTTAGTGTTGTTCAGACGAACAATAGAAGCTTCACGACCAAACCATCTAGGTCAGAGAACAAAAATCCACCTGAATTATCCACCTGGGCTATGAATCTTATCCACCATCTCAAGTCTGAGCGAATTTGTGGTAGACGATCAACGTTTTCTGATCTGAAACTAACAAGTCCCCATTACCCATACAAACGACTCTCCTTTGTGCCTAAACACCCAACCTGCGCATTCAAATCTCCAGCTAGTACTGCAATATCAATCAAACACACTTTCTAGAGATCATCTTTGGTTGAATCTTGGCAGCAAGCTGTCGGGGTGTGGGCGGAGATGGCCAGAAAACATCGTTCCCCACACAGATTTCTTCTCACTTTGATGGAGATTTCTAATCTAACAGCACATAACCGAAGGTTAATAGGGATCCCATCGGCCAGTTCTGCCTCAGCTCTTGCGCTTAGTGGGACATCAACGTCAGTAAAACCAGATGGAAATAACACAGAATGTCCAGATAAGCGCATGCGAAACAAGCTTTTGAAGTGAGGAGAGCGAGCTTGTATCACCTCACTAGAACCTTGAATAGGGATCCCCAACAGACGACAGACACCGATGTTGAGACTTTCTAAATATATGGCCAACCCTATCTTTTTTCCAGTCGGCATTCGTGGGCGAACGTTGAGTTAGGTCAATTTGAATAGCACGCGCGGTCACAGAGTGGTCGGTTGAGAATTCGTATTCAGTGGTAGCACTCAACTTCCGATCAGTCTGTAAATTTACATAAAAAAAGACTCCAACCATAGATCAGCTGCTTTGAGCTGAAAAATGACAGAATACACAAAATGGGAATGAAAGAGAATGTAAAGAGCAATCCGAAATAAAAATGAATATTACCGATTAATTGTGGATATAATTTCTGAAAATACGAATTGAAGCGAGAAAGAGTTTTTCCACTTGTAGTCATCATGTGACTTTTTGTGGGTTAGAATACTGTCTGGGTGCACAAACCGAAACAAGTGGTTATCCTAGCAACCTACTAACCGAGCCTTCAACTTACACGTCTAATCCATAAGACAGTAGAGAAACGTTAGGAGAAACAGTTCCGTGATATCTGATAACCAAGATCACGTTCATACACCAATCGTTCCTTCTGAATCATATAGATCATGTGAACCATGGGTTTGGAATCAGGGTTATCCAACCCCTCTAGTTGCATCATACTCACCCATCAATCCAGATTAAACAGAAGACATTTATTTTACGTCTTCTCAATTTAGTAAACACACCCTCGCTGTGAGAAGACAGTGAGTAATACTTCCGTGGAAGTGGTTATCTAGGCGTGGTCATTTTAAAATTTCGAGATGGAATGTGGACTCTACCCACTCTCAACCGCACCAGAACGTCTCGGAGCTACTCTGGCATCTTATCTACTTTTCAAATGGATGGTTTACGGATAACATAAGAAGGCGGCGTTGATTTTTAATAAAATGAGCTTCAGTGCCCACAGGGATATGTAAGCAGTTTTCATTTCTCGTTTTATATACAGCTCGACCATTTCGAAACATGACTGCAGGACCCCAGAAAGATCTGGTTGAGTCCGTTCACATGACATTTGTGTAAGTAGTTCTTGATTCTTGAGCTAGTATTTCTGCAGCCTAACCGCTGGTGATGGGAGCATTCGTTGCAAGGTGAGATGCATTATTTTCATGGCCAATACTTGCATTGTACGAATGCAACATTGTTGGAAACACCTCATTGCTAAATCACTCCAATAAAGTTGTCAGAATGCGTTAGCCTATAGGCCTTCGAGTTGATTTTACAAATTATGATGACGAATAGTGCTAATGAAATGTAGATTCTACTTAACTTCGTATATCTACTCTCAACCAACCACGTTAATACAACTTAGAAATAAAAATTCGAACAAGCAAGTATTTTGGATGTGTATATTTCGTAAGTTCAGTACAGGAGGGAGACAAAGAGAAATAGATATGATTCAAAGGCCGTAACAGCTCAATCGGTGAATAATAAGTGACTTTTTATAAGGGGGATCAAGTATAAGTTACGTGTGACCGATTAGGGTACATATAACCGAAATCCATAAAACAAACCTACTCCTACACCAACTATCATCAAGCATCGAAGTAGTAGGTGGATGGGTAGACGTAATACATGTCCTAACTGTTGTGACTTTTGCACCTGTCAATCACCACGTGACAAAGTCGCCAATCAGAATACTAGCTTATATATCCCTATGCTAAACCAATGACACGTCAACCATCACTAGCAACCTTGAGCCAACTCTGAATCCCTATTGGTCCACAAAGTAGTAGTTTTTCGCCCAGCCCTTCCGGTTAATTCCAGAACACAATTTCAGCCTCCACTGTATGAAACGCATATTTCAAACATACTTGGTTTATATACAAGCAAAGTAGATCGCATCACATTATACAGTGCAAAATAATAATTATACAGTATTAAGCCAAAAGTGGCTGTGAATATAGGAGACTGTAGCTAATCAATTGGGAATAAGTTAAGCATAGCCAATAGGTCAAATGAAAGACTTTGATAAGAGAAAAATGAGTATAGATGTAATCTATTTACTTAATAGTCATCCAATAAGAACATATGTAATGACTAGTATTGGGGACGGTTGGAAGAGAGTTAGGGGCGGCCAAACCAAAACATGGCATCAGTGTTTGAAGTCACTAACTTCTAGCCTGAGCCATGTTGGCAGATGCAGACTACCTGGTTGGGGTCCGCGTGACTATCGTAACCAATGGTTGGAGACTCTAGGTGACATGGCTCAGAATCGGTCACAATGGCGTAGGTGTATACACTCTTTATCTTCCCTTAAACCTCGAGACTAAAATTGCTTCATATCTCTCTTCCTTCCTGTACTATATCCTTATATACAACCTATAATTTATATACTACTACCAACACTAGATTAACTACTATGAATCCGGTGTTCCTCTTGTTGTGCTAACGAGGTATGGCAACTTGGACCGATGCATATATGTGCCTGGTCCTACGTTGTAGCTGACCTGATATGTAATAATAGTTCATAAGTAGATCCTAGAAGTTATTATTCATTTATTTTTCGTTCGGATATGACACTGTCTCAATCGATAAAGATTTACCACCTCTTCAGTTGATTTTTCACCTTTACCCAGTACTCTGCTTCTACCTACACAACGACCAAATTGGTGCTGCCAAAATATACGATGGTTCGAAGACATTCATGATCAAATGCTAGTAAACTACAGATACCCTCTATTTTATAGGCTGTTTTACAACCATAAAGTAGAACGGAGCGAATTGTTGAGCAGCAAACCCATTTTTTGATGGTAAATGGATGTCTCTCCTACGCTACAAGTGACATAACTTGGCTTTTTAGTTTGTGCTGGGATTTCGTCGGACACCAACCCAACAGGATTGATGAGACTTCCAAGATAAGTGAATCAATCAACACAATCGACTACTTTACTCCTATCATTAGTCCCGGCGTTGGCACAGACCATTCCTGAAGCAAAATTTTGCATTCGCATGAAGAGAAACGCATTATAAACATGTTTGTATTGTTGCTAAAGGCGGTCGGAAAGCTGTATTTCGTCAGTGTCTTTACTAAACAAAACTATATCATTTGCGAATCTTAAGTTAACAAGCGGACCTCCTGATACAAGATCGATTCCTGATAAGTCAGATCAGGAGAAATGTCTCTAAGAATTTGCTACCTTAGTAAACAAAACCAATAGCATAAGGTTGGCTTATATGAGTGACAATTTCTGTTGAAATCTAACCTACAAAGCCATCCGAAAAATAGGTATTACAGTTTGAACAGGCACTCAATATTATCACCCCCAAAAATAACATTTGGCGCAAACTCCAGTATATAGTTCTACTTAGTTACTGAGGTGCACATATACTTTGTGTTCATATCTACCGGATTCGATCTACAAGCAGAGTGGATGTAATATGTGAAAAGACGCCTGGGTATTAAGTTTCAAACCTTAACAGGATAATGATCACTTGGTATGAACATGCCATTACCTGAGACAACTATTCTGAAATGAACGAAATAGTACACGTTTTCCTGTCATATTTATTAATCATGACTTATGTATACCCAGAGAAATACCTAAAAGTAGTTATGGCAGGTCTGCGATAGATTATATTTATGTAAATGGAGACTTGTTTGGTAGTTCTTCAGAACCCTCACAAGATATGACGTTACACATATTTTATAAGAAAGTGGAGAGGATAAATCAATATAATTTATTACTAAAATTGAAGTTTATGTACAGGAAGCAAGGAATCACTTTTTCTTCAAGAGAAAATTGTAAGCTTCTTGGTCAAAAGTATCTTCTATTTGTTCTAGCAAAGTCAACTTTGATCGAGGAGCGCGTCTAAGAAGACGTTTCTGTCTTTCTTCTGGAGAGCAGTCATTTAAATCTAGAGGGATCTGAAGGGGATGATTAAGAAAAACACAAATACTAAATATATTTTGAGCGTAACGCCCAAGGTTTTACATCGTCACAAAGGTTTAAGATATTAACTCTAAATTATAAGTCACATGTCCATATTAGCATTAATGATAACGTGACAACCAGAGGGCATGTAATTAAATCTGGAGACTGAATCTCTAGTAGTGAATCAATAATAAATTTCTGGTCTTCGACTTTCAACATTTCAAGATGCTTAATATCATATTAATGGGAAGTGCAGATTTCAGTTTAATTGATTTTCGGTAGCTAGTGCAAGAACCTGTTATCTATTTAGTGAATAAACAACTCTACCTTGAGAACTGTCTATAATGCGGACTTCCTTTAGTCCGTTTACCTTAGATCTGTTTTTGGGTCATTTTTCTATGGACTGATGAACGATAGAATAAATTACGAATCTATTGGTTGTTACTCACAAAAAGTGAAGCTGGTATTTACTCTTTCGTGAGAGTTTCACTATATGTTAATGTTTACATCAGTGCAGCATGAACTCCAAGTTCTGCATTACTGATTTTTCGATTTTAACTTTTAGTTATAAATTTATGGTTGGTATTGGTATAGAGTTCAGTTTAGTTACACGGAAACAACTTTATTATCCATTATAGTTAGGGGGTGGGAGTCAAAGGATTCTTTTTCGGAAACCGATAGTAAATAAAGAATGGGTTGGAAAGCAATACGGGATTTTACTGGTTTGGGAGTACATTTACCGATGTCTACAATGTCTCATAATAGTTATTTATTACTACAAACTACTGTACTATTCGTTTACGTAAAGAGGGCATACAACAACCTTTCTCCCTTGTTCCATTCGAGCAGTGGGGTTAGGCAGGGTTGCCCGATCTCCCCATTCCTCTTCAACTTTGCCATCGACGACATCCTAGAAACAGCTCTGATGGATGTAAGTAATGGCGGTGTGGATATGTTGCCTGGAGAACGACTTCTCGACCTTGAGTATGCGGATGATATTGTCTTACTGTGTGATAATGCCCAAGGCATGCAATCAGCACTTAATCAGTTGGCAATCAGTGTCCGCAGGTACGGCATGTGCTTTGCACCCTCCAAGTGCAAAGTACTTCTACAAGACTGGCAGGATTCTCATCCTGTACTCACCCTGGATGGTGAGGAGATCGAAGTAGTTGAGAAGTTCGTGTATCTAGGTAGCTATATAAGTGCTGGTGGTGGCGTGAGTGATGAGATTGATGCACGTATAATGAAAGCCAGAGCGGCTTATGCCAATCTGGGCCATCTTTGGCGCCTTCGTGATGTTAGTCTGGCTGTAAAAGGTCGGATCTACAACGCGTCGGTGAGAGCAGTTTTGCTCTATGCTTGTGAAACCTGGCCTCTCCGAGTTGAGGATGTTAGACGTCTCTCTGTGTTCGATCATCGTTGTCTCCGAAGGATTGCTGACATCCAGTGGCAACACCATGTTAGTAATGCAGAGGTTCGGCATCGTGTGTTCGGGCGCAGAGACGATAATTCAATTGGTGTCACCATCTTGAAACACCGACTTCGGTGGCTCGGACATGTTTTACGAATGTCGTCCCAGAGACTTCCGCGTCGTGCATTATTTGCCGACCCTGGGACTGGTTGGAGAAAGCGGAGAGGAGGTCAGTGTATGACATGGTGTCGTGGCATGAAAGAGAGCTGCAAAGGGCTAGCTTCCGTTGGTCCTTCACGACTCCCTGGTTGGGGTCCGAGAGATAGTGCAACACAGTGGCTAGAGACGTTATCGGATATGGCTCAGAATAGAAGCCAGTGGCGATCCTGCTGCAACCTTCTTTTACTTTCTACATAAAGAATGGTTCTAACTTTCCTAACTGAAAGAATCTTCTGGTTGTACATTTCAGCCCGCCTTATCTTTTCATCCTTTATCTACCTACTTTCATTATTTTGTGTGGCGCATATGTACCTGGTGCCCTTTTGTACCAATATATATGTGTTTAAATAAAATAAAAATAAATTACGTAAAGAACTGAAAGAGCCACTCAATTGCTAAGTATGCTTTCCAAACAAACAGATGTCACTTGACATTACAAGTTACAATACGAGCAATTCTGGTAATTCTCAATATTCTTGTAACTATTTACTAGAAATACGGAAGGTTCATTAATTGTACATAAAACACAACTAGAATTACTATAAGCCAGGCTTTTCGTAAAAGCGAGAAGTTTACAAGTTAAATAACACACTATTGTACATTTCGAAGACCACTTAAGTTTTTATCAAGGGTGTTTAAGTTTAATGTTTATGACCACAGACTTATGATTGAACATGATAGGATCTTATTGATGCCCGTTTGGAAATAGTATTAGCTTTAGGTTTTAATTACAATACATATGAGATCTGAGATGCGGGAAGTTATTGCAATGACATTTTTACCTCAGAACCTGTGAAAAATAACAGCTTATCGACTATACATAATTTCTTAACTTCATTAACTTCATTGTACAGCGAAAACGGAAATTTAGGATAAAACGTATAAATATACTTTCTGATGATATTTAAAGCACCGACCTGAAGCATTATTCGAGGCTCATGAAATCTAATACGGATCGAACCGCCATTAGGATAAATCAAGCTAACTGGATATGTACGTCCATATAGTCGTCGTTTGGTACGGCATAAAGCTGCCCGATTAGCATTACATCTGCAGGGAAATCTACAGTTTTGATATAAAAAGCGTGGATGGAGCTTACACTAATGGAAATACGTTACTTTTACTTAGGAAGCTTGCCCAAGGAATCATGAATTCAAGAGGTAATACACCGACACTTGTTACAGACGACCACACAAGGTCGTTCTGACCAGTTGATTGTACCGCTTTACAACAACAACCCTCAGTCTCTATTCATCGTCCAGAAGAATCAACCAACAGAACGTTACTCGATTTGTGTACTGAGTGCACATATAAACGTACATTATCAATAAACAGATAAGGTCCAATCTTTCATTTGTTTTACACCTTTTAACTAGTCCCCAGGTTTGAGCCACCATAGCCTACAACATATCAATGTACTGATGAAAATAGTCACAATGAGATATCAAAGTGAACTCGTATGTTCCATATTACTTACCTTGAAGACAGACAAAAAACGTAACTAGATCCATCCATTTTATCCTGAATTTGGCTGGTACGATACTCATCGGTTTTAGGAAACTAAGGTAAATTAATCCCCAAAATAAATAGTTCTGTGAGTCTTCGACAATGATGCTTACCCAATTAGTTTTAGTGGACGAATCTAGCTGGAGGAACTCTGTCACACATCCCCACCAGATCACGAGTGGGTACGCTATGCTACGCATCACTTGCAACTGCCAGCCAACTTAGACCAAACGCTTCTTGATATATCGACAGCCTTCTAAATACATCTTCAAACCCCTCATTTATGACTTTGTATTTGCCTGGGGTGGTGTACTTCGATTATAAAGGTGTTACATGTAAATGCGTCGTCAAACTCCGAATACCTGTGGCATCATTGGTGGTGAGCTTGACGTGATCTGACACAGCGAACAGTAAACTGTAAGTCTATTCCTTGTTGGGACATTACATATCATTTTCAGCTTTCATCTTTACATGTTGTGATATTGTTCTCATATTTTTGGATATCTTTTACCGTTTATTGGTGTGTCTTGTTTTCATCATAACGGAACAGACACCTAAACTAGTTAAGATCAAAACTCTTTCTCCTTCCACCTTTCAACTCATGCCACTCTAGCCTGACAGCATAGAGGCCTGGTTCTGCTACGTGGAAGCTGAATCCCACGAGCATGGAGTGACAGACCCACGTACACAATTCCTCGCAGTAGTGAAGGCACTACCTCGTGATTCCAACAGGCACGTCACAGTATGCTTACGGATAATGTTTCTGAAACTTACGACACTTTGGAGAAGGCTATCCTTAGTCGTGGGGAACTGACCGATCGACAAAAGTTTGACCAACTCTTCCACAACACCGATCAGCGACACAGCTCAACAACAAAAGTGTCGCCATACAAACTTTGCACTGATTCATCAACGATGTCCTTAGAGATCGCAAATTTCTACACGCGTATGTTGATGACTGCTTGATCGCAAGTCTGGACAGAGACTCTTAACTGGACATTGATTTCGAATAACTGCAAAAACACGGTGTCTCTGTAAACATTAAGAGATATCAAATCGGAACCGACTTCTTAGATTTCCTCGGACATACTACTGATGATCAAGGCATCCATCCTCTGAAAAGCAAAGTGGCGGCCATTCTGGACTAACCACAACCATGCAACTACACTCGTTCAACGTCCTGGGAAGTTTCTGGTGACGGTTCATACCTAATTGCGCGTCTCTCATTAGACCACTAACAGACCAAATTTGCGAAGATGCGAAAATCACCCATTTGAATGACAACGCGAAAGAAGCGTCCTCCATAGTTAGGGAACTTGCCGCAAAAGACACAATTGATGTCGCATGACGTCTTGTATATTGCTTCGTTTATTTTTCAGCTTAGTTGTGATTGGTAACGTTTAAAATAATCTAAACTTGCCTCTTTTCACTACATTTACGTTACTGTTATCAGCCCATAGGAGCTGGACTAAATTTTTCATAGTTGTCTATCCGGCAAAAATTTGACAAGTTGATTGCTCAATAGGTTTCAATGTTCCAAAAACCAAAGAACAAATCTATTGTTTTAAAAGTTGGCTTTTTATAATGTCTTGTCTTATTAGTATAGTGATTGTCACTGGTTTCAGCACGAAACAGCGGTACTGAAGGTTGGGGTATTTCCCTATTCACTTCCCACTCCTGCCATGTTCGTTTGTGATAATTTCAATTCTTCAAAGCTATCATTGTTGTCAATATGCGTTCTAATTAAAATCATTCGGTGTGCCGGTGCAACCTGAATTGTGTAAACCTGCAGAGCTCCTGGATTTCGCAGTCAAGTGATAAAGATGTTACACAGTCCGTGAAAGAAACTTGCACTGTTCTCTTAAATGTTTCTTACTTCTATCCATCAAATTCCTCAAATAAGAGTATCACGCAAATTTGTGCAGTGTTATGGTGTAGAATCATATTCTACTTTGTTATTAGTACTGCTCTAATAATAGACCTAATCTTAAGATTGTACATTTGTTATGATGTAACTGCCTGATCTATAAGGTCTTTCGTGGAAGTCACATGATTGTCTACACTGACTCATCGTATGTAACAATCACCAGCATATGACGGAGAACACATTTAGGTTGGAGATAGAACAAAATATCTACTATGAATAAAAGTGATGTTAAATAAGAATGACTACACCTGCAAAGCCGAGCCATGCCATCCGATGAACTGAATATCGAATGAGTGTTCCCGCGTCCACCATTACTGGTCTATTCTTAGTGTCACATGTTCAAAGTCTATTCTCCCAGTTATCCCGTGTTCAGCTTTGAGGGTTGTGGTCAAGATCCAATGACACTACAGCGGTTTTGTCAGTTTAATGGAGTGTCTGGACAAACTCAAATGTTATGGTTAGGCAAGTTAAATAAGATATTTCGTAAACATTCAACAGGTTGTGTTGACCTGGAATCACTGGAGCTCCTGGAAAGTTTTAAGCAATTTCCAGGAGGCAGTATGGCATTAGGAGATGAGTAAATTGTCTTGATTTATCAGCTGCAAACAAATTTTAACGTTTTCTGAGAAACTTGAGGTTATCAAACAATGCTTTTTGGTAGGACATCTGTGGGTGTTTTAATTAGAGGTAGTGTACAAACCAGACATGTCTAAAGTTTGTCGATTTATCTACAATGCAGATGTTTACATAGTTGAACTCATGAATCGGCCTAAGCTAGACCCCCGAAGAATAACTAAGACCACTAAAAGGCTGTTTCGTCCTGTTGTAGAGCTCCTCGCTAATGTGCATCCACGACCCTGGACACGGAAACCGAATCTACGACCTTCAATTTCGCGCGCAAATGTCCAACCTAAAGACTACTGAGGTTTTCTATGATGGTCTAACTAAGATCAACCTGTGGATTCAACTGTTAAAACACTACAATCTCCACAAATGCCATGCAGATGTATTAAGCTAAACTCTTGCTAAGAATACCAGCTTATTTCCATACTGCTGAGGTCTAAGCTTGGTTTAGCACAATCTGGACAAACTACATAATTATGAGTGGAGTTTGGGGCCATTGTAACCTAGATTATTTGAGAATTTTAAAGATGAATGACTTTTTATTTCTTGCGTTCCGGAACGACAAATTCAGAATTATATGCGGCGAACGATTATTGATCGATCGATTTCTGCATTAAGCTGTTAATGAATAAGGCAAACTGGCTATAAATATTTTCTTGAATGGTTTTTGAAGTGAGTAACGAAACCGTTATTGAAATCATCTATTCAGACAATAGTAAATTAATTGGCATTATTTATACGTTAGCGCTGAGCCGCTTTAAGGAATACGTTGGTTACTTCTACATACTTTCAGTCCAGTTTCCGTTCAGATATTAATGAATCTTTTTGTATATTGCAAGAGCTATTGTTTCCACCAAAGTTTGTTCTTACTAAGCCTTGTGTAAGAAGTTTACCATCCCAATGACGTTTTTACTTATAAATACACATATTATGAGAATTCGGGCAGTTAAACCTCATCACATAGCTTACGTATTAGGTCAACATACAGAGACGACCAGGCTGAAGATAATTTTTGTTGCTAATCTAGGCAAATTGCTTGCAGGCATAATAAGATATGGAATGTTTACCTAAAATTACCTTTGATACTTTCGAGTTTGTCTGCTAGTGTTCTAGTGCATTGAAACAATCTAGCTTCCAGCCCCCATGTATGGTGTGCTGGAAAACCTAAAATAAAAAACGTACGAAGAACTGCCAAACGAGAAATCCATAACATACTGTAAGTGCTTTCGTCACTTTCGCCAAGTCCTCTAGGTTATTTGCAGGTTTTCTCGACCAAAAATATTCGTTATTAAAATGCCTAATGAGCTTCTGTTATTTAGACTGACATAAGCACAAACTCTTCATGCAAATTGCAAAACCGGGTTGAAATGTGCCGTTTTGAGGACAACAGAAATACAACAACACAAGTAACAACTTGGAGTCCCCGCAAACAGTAGGTACCTTTGAAACTTTCAAAATAGCTTTAGAAACACGAAACACACCTATGAGGCACGGTAGGGAACTTGTTAAGTCTACTGCTAACCAATCCAACATAGCACAAGTTAGCTTTAGACCTGTGGTATAGCGCAACCTGACATGTTACGTAAAAAACAGCAAGCAATTGAACGCTGAGGGCCAAAATATATATAAACAATTTTTGAAAATGCCTCTTGTAACCTCTGAAAGAACATAAAAACAAACTACACGGCATACTATGTTTACATTACAATATGTGTTATACCCACACACATGAATGATACGTAACAGGAAAAGTGTAGTATATTGACGATATCGGTGAAACACTGCTTGGTAATAAATAATTAACCATAAAATGCATTGAAATAACAGTGTAACAACAGTTGGGATAGTAATAATGGATATTCACAAGCCACAATATCCCCAACGATAAATAAAGAAGGTCAAGTTTTCATATATGTGTGAGTATTAAGAGTTTAGCCGGCATTACAAGTTAGAGTTACCACCCAATAGAGCTTTCGTCACCACGTGACATCAGTTATATTGCAAAAGGTTAGGGGTCATGTATCAAGAATAAGACTGGAGTTTGACTTAGGACTAAAAATTAGGGTCGAAATTTTCAACATGAACTGGCATTGTGCCTATTGCTACTTATAAAAATAGATATAAGCAGTATGTGGCAGGAATCGTAAGTAGAATCCTTACCAGCAGAAGAGGGAGAAAAACATAGAGAAATCGGGACAACAACAGGAATGGAAGAACGATGTAGCTTGTAGGGGAAAGTACAAGGAAGATGTGAGAATAGTGTATTTAAA